CCTTGTGAAGCTATCAATCACCCATCTCCTGTATGAAGTCATTGTTGGACATAAAGATACTTTTATTTTACTCATAACAATACTATCTTATTGAGATTAGCTGCATACCAAAATCCAAAAAAGCTAGAGGTAAAAGAGGACCTTTCTCAATCCCAAGGTGGAAAGAAAGAAATCATCATTGACGTTAATTCCTAAAATAATGCCTAAGGCTGATAATGAGTCTGAAATAAGAGGGCCAAAAAGAAAAAGTAGGCAACCAGGTTGTTGGGGATCCCATATTGTTTCATCAGACTATCTGTAAAACTAAGTATTATCTAGATGAAAAGTCCCAGGCATTCTACGAAGTTTATACCAATTTTTTAGCAAATCTGAATCAATTCACACATCTAAACCTGTTACCATTACATTGTGCACGCTATTCATTCAAAACTGGGAAACAGCTCTGATCAAAATCTCTTCAAGGGTATTTCAACACAATTTTCATCTGTACTAATTATGGTGCAATGGTTTGAGTAGACAGCTTCAGATGATAGACAACCTAGCTGTCAGTTTGGCTTATATTAGCCCATGTACTACAGCTTGTTTACAGCTAGGTTACCCTCTAAGGCTTGTCTTAACAGGCTATGTAATAAGGTACAACAAATTTCCAATCTGAACATTACATGACTGCTATACAATAGGCCAAGGGCTAATGCTCAAAACATCGGTGGCCAATTTACAATTTTCATCTTTGAAGGGGCCAATTTACATTTTCAGCTCAGTTGATAACACTAAATTACCCTGTTATACTCTCCCACCAATGCAGCACCACAATTTCTTTAGAAACTTACCCCCTCTATTCAATAATAAGTACACCTCACAAGATGTGCAACAGTTCATTATGTGGGAAAATTCTTTATGAACAATTTCTTATACCAATAAAAACTTCACGCCTTAGATTTTTAACGAGATAAACCCCATTTATGCAAACACCTTTAAAAAGGATAACATTTTTAAAAGGATACCCCTTGTGACATCAGGCAGGAGTCCCAAGATCACAACTGTATTGGGTAGAAAAGTCCATTAAAGTACAGTTGAGGGGGAGTACTTCCTCTTTTATAGGGATTACGTAATTCATAGATGATTGGGCTATGAATAAATATCCTGACATACTTCAAAGGCTTCTAAACATGAAATTCCCGCGACAAGCTAGCCAAAACACCTCAGGATTAATCAATAATGCAAGCCCGCTGATTTTCAAAAGATATCCTACTGAATCTAAACCAACAATCAGCCAAAGCCTTAATGTCAAGCTTGAGACAGCAGCTGTGCGGCTAACATGCTGTGGACATGTCTTGAAATTCGTTGACATGTCGAGTGAGATTTGGTTGTGCCCCTAAAAATGAAATTAAATATCATATTTTGACCTGCGTATGCTAAACACAGTAAAAAGCTTTCCTCACAAGCGACTTGCCCCTAAAGAGTGTTTTTACAAACAATACTGCGCCTTCCTACACACTCACGTAAGACCAAGTGATAAATATTTGAATTTCCCGCTCAACACTGTCGCAATTACAACGGTGCTTATGGCAATGCTGGGATAATCTGATCATTCCAAGAGGTTAATTTGCCACTAATACAAACATGAGACAGAAATACATAAACATTTTTGCGTTTATCAAGCAGTTTCTAAGGTCTAATCCTTACCTGTAGTTGATCTGATTACAGCCAAGTCCCACACGTGGTCTCTTTTTAGGTGTTTTAAAGTAAACGTAGCATCTTTTCCCATCCAAACTCCGCTCAAGAAAGCTGGATTGTTCAATTAAAACTTGAGATACCACTTTGGCTTCCAGTTTGGCATCAAAATAAGCTCAGAAAAAGTTGATTCTTGATTTTCATTCAAATCCTCCAACTGTGACGCCATGTTGAATGGTACACACAAATATGTCTCGCTACACGCGCAACTGCGCGAGAACACGCGAGATGAGTGGATGACTTAAAATAACTACGAAGACATTGAAGACATCGTTTCCGTCGTCTCAAACTAAATTATGTTCAGTTAAAAATCAGAACGATAGTTATTAGGAGAGATGATATCCTTGAAATTTTCTCTATGCTTGAAACATCATCAGGCCAAAGCTTTCCAGGGCTTCCAAGTGTGGGAACGTTTGTTTGTGGAGATCAAAAACACTAAAGAATCTTTTCTGAGATGATCTCACCTGCAAACATCTTTCTTTCAGTTACGTTTTATCAGATTAGGAGGACAACTTACCAATCTCTTTATTATTTTACGTGTGACGTATTACCAAAATCAAAATTGTCATGACGTGGAGGAGGGGGGGTGGGGTGGGAGTAGTTAGAAAAAAGAACCAATCACAGATAGTCAATCAAATCCAGATAACATAGATATAAGGGTGACGAACTATTTTCCAAATAAAGCGCAAAAGAGGGTAAAAGTTATACGAGAAACACGGCCAAATTTAAATAAAAACGTCATCTTTTTTAATGCGAGGACCTTACGATTTAAACTTGTCTTCAATCTGTAGGAATACCTCACAAAAATAAAAAAAAAAATCCACAAAAACCGTGAGTCATGTTAGTCAAAATTTCAAACAACCAATAAGAGATAAATGTATGCATAATAACGTTCACAAAGCCTACTCCAGGCTATATTTAAGTTAAATATATACAAAAGAAGTAAAACATGCTTTTCGCGTTCACTATTCAGCTAGTTTGGTACCAGTACTACTAGGCATATGGTCAAAGATAAGGTTCTGTTTTGTATGTTAGTCATCCAACTTGAGTGATATGTGTCACAATGGCGAAATCCGTCGACATTTACCAACTCGTAAAGCTGCTTCATGAATATCCACCACTCTTCCACTGCTGATTCAATAGCATCTGGTTTTAAAGGTATTAAAGTCAGGTATACACTGTTGAGCGCGGTATCAACTTCGCAGTAAGAAATTTCTTCTTAACAAAACCTGTGGCATATTGAGCCACTTAGCTTCCCCTAAAAGGGGACCAAAGCAGTCAAATATTACGTTGATAACTGACGCTACGAAACTTATGCTTTGACCAACGATGACAAGCAGCAGTAAAAGGGACTGACTCCAGTCTTTAGTACTCAGTCTCTGCCCGGCTCAGTGTGGAGAACTGGATTTGGCACTTTAAACTATTTGTCGACAGGTTTGTGTTTGGCTGTCGTAAACATACCCATTGTCACATTTACACTTGTAATCACCACTTTTATCGCACATTGACTCCAGTCCGCCGCGATTGCGGCATACCATTTCAAACACCTCTCTCCTTCCTGTGGATAGAAAAAAGTTGCAAAAGATGGTCACTGGAGCAATCTGGAACAGATCAAGTACTGCCACAAGTACAGCCTAAAAGTACAGAACAGTAATCGTTCCCATGCCCGTGAAAAATTAAAACGTTTCTCTTTCTTCCATGGAAAATCAATTTATGAATAAATTCATCATCAGCTTGGATCCATCCATCAATATAACCATCCTCTGATTGGAGAGATCAGCTATGACTGCACACAACTATTGATATAGTAATCAACCGAAGGCTGATGTAGAACCGCGGAAATGTGAGATGACTTTACAATCCCTAAATCAAGCTCAAGAGCTCAAACATCTGTGTCTATCCAATTACGTATTAGACAGAGCAGCGTGAGCAGCAAGCCATCTCACATTTAAAATAAGGTCTGGTTTGGGTTCGAATCCTGGCCAAGGAATCAATTTTTATGTTTATCCCACGTTTTAACATATTTTAAAAAAATTTTTTTGTTGCCCTTAATCAGACCTACAAGAATCCTAAAAACCTCAACACGACATAAAATTTCAGAGAACTTAGAGGTTCTCCATGGCAGTGCTTCAAATTTTCTTCGTTCTACATTAGTAATTAACGAGCAACATCTCCCTATAAAACCCTGCACTTATAGCGAAATCTGGAGATCATCTGACCTTGGCAAGTCTGTCCATCTCCTAGGTATCCCTCCTTACAAGTGCAGAAGAAAGAACCTTCTAAGTTTACACAGTTTGAGAGGGAACTACAGCCAAGAGACTCTACACTGTTCACACATTCATCCACGTCTGAAAAAAAAAAACGGCCTACGATAAGCCTACAAAGGTAAAACAAAGATTATTTAAGTCTGACCTGCCTTCGGTTGTGTTAATCAGTGGCTGGACAGTAGTTATCGAAGATAACGTTTACTTTTCTTCCACGATGACAAGAGTCACTTTCTCACGCATCTTCAGTATGAATAACGGTGTGTACTATCTTCTGTTCAAGAACTGGGCCCAGTTGATCAAAGGCCTATTAGCATTAAACCTAGGTTAGCTTTTAATCCGGGTTTCTTTGTTTCTTTCTTCTAAAGCCTTTGCCGGATATTTCTCTCGATTCTTCGTGGAGCATCCAATAATCAAATTGTAGAAAAGAAGAACCATACTGATTCTTCTTTAAGCTTTCAAATCTGAAATCAGATTTCACAATAACCCTGGGTTATCTTGCCCCATTTGAACAACCCGGCCCCGAATGCCAAACTCAGTCTGATTGCTACAATAAAAGAATTTCTGATGGCATTTCAACTAACTAGCCGGGAAATAACGAAACCTAAAATTCTGGTTGGAAAACGAACTACACTGTAACAAATGAATTATTATTTAGGTTTTACTAGTCAGCCCTTAGAGGACGGAGAACAGGGTACCAAACATAACGCAGATGGGAATCTAAAATTGTCTACGGCTGCAATTATCAGGAGAATAATTATAGCGATAGAAGAACCACTAGGTAAACTGTAACGAAATTCCATGTAACATTCCTCCCCTGATCCCTTGACCTTCCTCAAGAAAACTCTTGACTTGCTTACCATTACATAATGTATTCACGGGGTTCTGAGAACTGGGATCTTCAACAAAACCCAAAGCACATTCACATCTGTATGATCCAAAAGTGTTGTTGCAAACAAGATCTGAACGGCAAGCACTTCCAGACTGGCACTCGTCAATATCTAAAAGGGAAAAAAGACTCCTTTGCTTTGAATGCACCCTAGATCCAAATGAAATCTTTCATTGAATAATTTATGGTTCCTCACCAACGCATGTTACATTCACTGGATTCTGAGAACTTGGATCTTCGACATATCCCAACGAACATTCACATCTGTATGAGCCAACAGTGTTGTTACAGACGAGATCTGAACTGCAAGTGCTTGGAACCTGACATTCGTCGACATCTGAAAAAGACAATAGATTAATTTCCGTCTATTGCACCCTAGATCTGTTCCCAGTCTCTCTGGTAATAATTCGTCGATGTTTAGCAGAATAAATTGACTATTTTTCAAAAACGCAAACGTCGCTCAAACTCCAACCGCTACAATACACTAATCCTTGATGGCATTTAGGCCAACTAACCAGAAGATAGCGAAACCTAGCCGTCTGGTAGGAAAAAAATCTTATAATGAAACAGCGATTTTGTTTTGAAATTAGGTTTCCATGGTGTTCTTTGGAGGGCGGAGAACCTTTAAATGACGCTGAAATGCACTCAAAACTGTCTTCGGTAGCAGTTATCAGAAAGATACTTATAGAAGTAGAAGAACCACACAGAATACCAACGGAGCTCCATACAGAATTTCTTGCCAGTTTTGCTTCACCTTCCTCTAGATAAATGCTTGACTTTCTTACCATTACATATTATATTCACTGGATTCTGAGAACTGGGATCTTCCACAAATCCCAGAGGGCATTCGCATCTGTATGATCCAACAGTGTTGTTACAAATGTGATCCGAAGGACAAGGTGCAGTTTTGCACTCATCAAAATCTAAAAAGGACAAAGAAATTATCAATAAAAATATATTTAACAAGGAATTCACTTTGAACTAGACTCTCAATCCGTGAGTTTTTTCAAGCTATATGTTCCCTCTTCTTTGGAAACAACTCACATCTCCTAATAAGGCGAGGAATCAAAGTGCTCTGTGAGCAAACTCGTGAATTGATACATGATTTTTTGGATTATGTTTAATGTTATCTGGTTTAGGGAATTTTGTGGTTGATTGTCATATCTAGAGTACGAGCAGTAGTTCAGTGTTTGCTAATGTAGCAAAGAAACAAAGTAATGTTGGGATAAGAAGGCATTACAATTAAAATGATCATGCTATTGCATTTGACAAGGGTGGATGATGTTATGTGTTTTAAACGTATATCATTTCTGTTTCTGGTTCAAAAGAAAAGGTTGGAAGTAAATGTGGGTGAAAAGTGAAATTTACCGTCTATCATTGTAAATATTAGAAAATCAAGGCAATACTGTCTTAATGAAAACATTCACGATTCCCTCTTTATCAAATGACACAAACGGGAACGAGTTTTGAGTGATATAACTAAGCTAAGACTGCCACCGTCATTTTGGATCTCCGCCTGGGTAGATTTTAGTCACGTGCTAGGCAACGTATAATCAATAACAAGATAGAATTTCATTTCAGGCCTATTTATCAATTTTGTGGTGTATAACTTTCGCATTTTAGTACGTAATATGTATTTTGAATCTTCAGATTGTCTTGAAACTTAAAAGAAAATTATTCTTTAAAAATTCACTGAAAATCGTAGCTAAAATTGTTTGTTTAGGTGTTATTTGATTTTCGTGTTAACTTGTAATTTCGTTAGTCGCCGGCATCCTTTGTTGCTTCACACAGGAAAAATACACGATACGAAACGTAATGATCGATTTTGTCCTTAATCTGACGCCGTAACAGAAAAAGCTTTTGAACATCTGTAAACTCCGAGCGCTTCGCAGTAAGTGATATTTTCAATGAATCTTCGGATTGTTTTCAAGTTCAAGGATTGTAAATTACAATTTTATGAAAAACGAAGGTTGTTCTGTTACTTCAGTGTGAATCCTTGCATGCCTGCCAGTCGCTAACGCCGCTTGTTGAAACTAAAACGAAAAAAAAACTCTTTTAAGATTATCGTTGGCTTCTTTGTCACCCCACCACTATTCTTAGCAACAAAGGTCGCCATTTCGTTTGTTTATTTCTTGCCAAAAACTATCAAATGCATACAAAAGCCTAAAATCGAAAAAAAGTTTATAGGAATCGACCAATCGAGCGAGCGAACGAATACCATTCCCCAAATCGTATCTACAACTCGCTCTTGCGCATGCGCGCAATTCACGAGTTAAAAACTAATCATTTTCTCACGTCCAACCACACCTCGAGTGTTGCTGCACCAGTTGAAGTAAAATCAATTTAATAAACAAGCTTACAGCAGAAGTGGTAGTGTGCTTAAAAACTCCGGCTTATTTAACAACAGTAGTCACCAATATTCGCAAATTATAAAAATAGAAAAAAAAACAATGATTAACAACTAGCATGGGTAACTACAAAACGTCCGATCACTAACTCTCCTCCATTTTTACGTGATTCTTTTACTTAGTGAAAACAAAAATTTATCATGAGTTTAGTTAACGGCAATTACGGATAGAGATTTGCTGGATTAAGATTAATGTCACAGAAACCGGGATCCAGTATCTCTGAACATTTAACACTTAATGTATGGTCCCGAGGGAAACAGTTAGTTTTGTTTTCCCGAGAGTCCTAATGTTTCTCAAGACGAGGTCGAACGGCAAGCACTTCCAGACTGGCACTCGTCAAAATCTAAAAGGGACAAAAGACTCCTTTGCTTTGAATGCACCCTAGATCCAAATGAAATCTTTCATTGAATAATTTATGGTTCCTCACCAACGCATGTTACATTCACTGGATTCTGAGAACTTGGATCTTCGACATATCCCAACGAACATTCACATCTGTATGAGCCAACAGTGTTGTTACAGACGAGATCTGAACTGCAAGTGCTTGGAACCTGACATTCGTCGACATCTGAAAAAGACAATAGATTAATTTCCGTCTATTGCACCCTAGATCTGTTCCCAGTCTCTCTGGTAATAATTCGTCGATGTTGAGCAGAATAAATTGACTATTTTTCAAAAACGCAAACGTCGCTCAAACTCTAACCGCTACAATACACTAATCCTTGATGGCATTTAGGCCAACTAACCAGAAGATAGCGAAACCTAGCCGTCTGGTAGGAAAAAAATCTTATAATGAAACAGCGATTTTGTTTTGAAATTAGGTTTCCATGGTGTTCTTTGGAGGGCGGAGAACCTTTAAATGACGCTGAAATGCACTCAAAACTGTCTTCGGTAGCAGTTATCAGAAAGATACTTATAGAAGTAGAAGAACCACACAGAATACCAACGGAGCTCCATACAGAATTTCTTGCCAGATTTCCTTCACCTTCCTCTAGATAAACGCTTGACTTTCTTACCATTACATATTACATTCACTGGATTCTGAGAACTGGGATCTTCCGCAAAACCCAGAGGGCATTCGCATCTGTATGATCCAACAGTGTTGTTACAAATGTGATCCGAAAGACAAGGTGCAGTTTTGCACTCATCAAAATCTAAAAAGGACAAAGAAATTATCAATAAAAAATATATTTAACAAGGAATCTTCTTTGAACTAGACTCTCAATCCGTGAGTTTTTTCAAGCCATATGTTCCCTCTTCTTTGGAAACAACTCACATACAATACAATACA